AGCTTTTTTCCACTGTAGGTCATAAGCTTTCTGCTTGCAAAGTTTCATGCAAATCCATTCAGTCATTTCCGCGTATTAATTTAATGAAACTTTTTTAACAGGTGGCAACTCTTAAAAAAATAGCCTACTAAACAATCTGGCCCATAAGCTATCTGCGTACAAAATTTCATGCAAATCCGTGCAGTCGTTTCCGCGTGATGATTTCCCAAACATACAAACTTTCACATTTATAATATTTATTAGATATACACGAACAAGAGCACATTTATAGGCAGGTAAAACTCATTAAATGCATTTTCCTTAATAACTAAGCTAATATCTGACTTTAGTGAAAAATTAACTTACTGCCATTTTATCAGTTGTCTAGTGTACAGCCTAAAAGTTTTGAAATGATAAAATGTCACGGTTGAATTTTAATGGTAACAAGTAATTTTTAGCAAAAAAAAACGACTTAAAGAAAATATATATATAAATATATATACTTCACGATTCAATGATCGGATCATATTAGTATGAGGCCACCTCTGAGACACCACCTTTCCGATGCAAAAAGAATTCTCGAAATCGGTTGACGTGGTCCAAAGTTATGCGGTAACATACATAGGAAAAAAAACATATATATATATCGTCGTTTAAAGTACAAAACCGCGTATCGTCATTCTGCAAAACCGCATAACTAACATTGGCTGCCAAAAATTGGATTTGCTGACACAAGCTCTTGGCTCATTCCTTATCCATTCGTCCTGAAATATACTAGCCCGAAATGCGATTGCTTTATAAAAAAGAGAACCATTTTCAAATATGAGTGCTTTTGCCCTCTATAAAATAATTTTTACACTTCACATACGCGGTTTTGCATTTTGCTGATACGCGGTTTTGCATTTTGTTGATACGCGGGTTTGCACTTTAAACGACGATATATGTATATTCCGACGAACTGATAACCTCCTCCTTTTTTGGAAGTCGGTTAAAAAGTGCCTAAAACCTCAATATCTCAAATTCGTTCTGAGTGTACTTAATGAGTTTTACCTGTCACCCCACGACATATCCTATAAAAAAGTAGTCCGCAATCAACGACTCCATAGGCTTATAAATACATATTGAGTTTTAGAAGTTGATAAAATTTGTCTTCAATATAGGATCCGTCCTTTGGAATTATAAGAATTTGCATTCAGGATCGTATCAGTTACCCAAGAAACATATCGTTGGCTTATTTCGCAAACGTGCTAAGTCCACTTTTTATGAAAACTGAGATTACTTACTGCATGTAAGATAGCATAACTCAAAATACATCATTACCAAAAAAGAAAGTTACCGTAATGTCGTTCTTACTTGTTGTTATGCATTGGTACGCAAATGTGCTAAGTCCAAAAAAAATCAAGAAAAAATATAAACACGTCTGTCCGTGTACACGATAACTCGAGATATCTCAACGAAATTTGGTATGTAGGTTGCCCTTTATCCAAGGTAAGTTGGTATTAAAAATAGGCGAATCGGACTGTAACCACGCTCATTTCCGATATAAAGGTATTTTCTAAAGATGCAAAAACTACGATATTTCAGTAAATATTGGATGCAAATTGTTCAAAATTAGTATGTGAAGTAGAATTTTTGTAAAAAATATTATTGTGCAATTTTTGGAAAATGGGCGTGACCTCGCCCACCTATTATGAAATATATCTCAGTAGCCCATTCACCGATCTCCACCAAACTCGGTACGAGCCTTATTTAGGGTCTAACTAAGAAATCTGTTGAAAATCTTTAAAATCGGGCAATGACTACGCGTATCTACTAAAGCTAATTCAATTAAAATCGATGATCTCGATAACGACTCAGCAGAAAATTAGATTATGATACATTTTTGGATAATGGGCATGGCGCCGCCCACTTATGACCGCAAAAGTGTAACTCGGTAACCGATTTATAAATTTCTTCCAAACTCGGTGCACTTAATAAACCTGGTACGGAAAAGCAATTCGTTGAAAATTATTCAAATCGGACCAAAATTACATTCGCTTTCCGTATATCTAACGGTAAATTTCAGAAATGCGAAAACTCTGATATTTTAATAACTGACGACGCCAATTTACTCCAAGTTAATACTTACAACAATCTCTTAACAATAATTAAGACTGCATGACACCGCCCACTTTATGACTACAAGGTGTATCTCGGTAGCCAATTTAGCGATTTCTACTAAACGTGGTTCAATTATTTCATTGAGTCTAACTCAGGATATTATGGAAAACGTTTGAAATCGGGGAAAACGCCCCTGCTTACGACAGTATTTGATACCTGCGCCGGGTATGTAAAATTCGGTTTCGCACAAACTTACACCTCTTTACTTACTTCAATTATTTTCTTTTATAAATGGTACATAAATTTACGACTTAAAATAGTTATTTTTCTAGTAGCAATGAAATAAAATTGTATTAGGTTATAATTTATTTTAAAACAATAAAATATATTTAAAATAAACAATTAAATCTTTTAACAATAAAAAATAATGGAAAAAAGGTTGATAGAAAATGTGCTAAGTTCACATTAAAAGAATAAAATCTTAAATAGAAAATGTGGTAAGTCCCAAAAGTGCCTATAAGTCTGCAACAGCTTTATTTTGAAATTGGCCGATTATTGGTACTAAAACAAGACGAACTAAGGAAGAAAACTGCATTTACAGATTAGAAAAATATTGACAACAAAAAAAGTTAGACGGTTTTTGTCCCTCCTGAAAAAAATGGACTTATCACGTTTGCGAACTAAGCCAACGATATATATTCTTTATTTCGTTGTTGGTGTTTCCGACAGGGTAGGAGTGTGATGTAATGTGGAACGATTTTCCATCATCCCTTAACAAATTTGGTTTGGAGACAAACCGGTTTCGGCGTTGTGCCATCTTCAGTGTCATTTTTCTTTCTGAATAGCTTTTGTTTGTCTGTCACTATTTATAGCCGTGTTAAATCGTCGTTGGTTCATAGTTAGGTACGTCTCAGCGGATTATATTCTT